CCTTCTGTTGGCCAGTTAAGTACTGCAGATATTTTCATTTTTTTTTTTAGTCTTCTATAACTCTATAACTCCTGTAACTTTAGCTTTTTTTATAGTGGCTTCCCTTTGCTAATCTCTAGAGGTCTCATGATCTTCTGTTTAGATTCTCAGCTGTCCTTCAATGTGTAAATAGTTTTCTATACTAAATTATTTAAAAATAATGATAAAAGTGATTTTCTTTGCTAATAGAAATTTATTTCTTTTGTCTTTTATCTTTTTTCTGCATCACTTTTATTGTGTATTTTTTAAACTATATTTTACCTCTGTCTAATCAGCTTTTAAATTTGCTCATCGACTCTTACATTTCTTTCATGTCTAAAACTTACAGAAAGTTCTTTTTCAAGTATGATACTTCTTATTGGTTCCAATTTTGTATTCCAAATTTATAGTTTAAATCTTATCTTTAGGAATGTTTTAAACATAGTTGCTATGAAGTCTTTGATAAGTCCAGCATCTGAATTTCTCTTGGGTCTTTTTTTATTGCCTACTGTTTCTGTTGATTCTTTCTCATGTGGCTTATCGTGTCAGGTGCCCTGTTATGTTTGACTGCAGATAGTACATTTTGTTTAGCAATTGTTCATAGAAATAGTATAAGGTGTATAATAATGTTTTCTTCCTATGGAGACATTGTTTAATTCTAGCAGGTGTTGGGGCCCATTAACAATCTGAAGTTATCATATTTTTTTGTATTTTGGGTTGCTAGAATTTAACCTTCAAATTATGGATGGGATGGTTTACTTCTGATGTGTTCTGTCTTGTAAGCATCCGTTCTCTGGAGCTCTAGAACAAGGTGAGGGGTATTGAGGGCCCCTACCATGACAGGCCCCAGGCTGTAAGTTCTGTTCCATGAAAATCAATAGGCACCAAAAACTCACCTCAGACTCTCAGATGTATTTTCCAGTTTAACACACACTCCCAAAGTATAAATACACCCCATTCTTGCTATATTGAAGAAGTGTTTGCTATTTTGTTCTCTTTTTGTTGATTATGCACATAGTCTGCTGTTTTTGCCTTCTGCTGCAGGAAGGATCCAGACGACGCAGTCCTCCATGACTTGAGATGGAGGTCCACGTCTTATTCTGCAGTGATGCCTATACACTGAGCCAGGTATGCTCACAAAGAAATCATTATCTAGCCATTTGAGTCTATTTTGGTGATTCCTGGGTTGACAGATACCACAGTACAGTTGACCTTTTATGAGAAACACCTTTTGAATCACTATGCCCTTCATCTGTGATATGTAAGCAGAGATGCTATGATATCTAATGTGATATTAACTTGTAACAATAGCATTCTATTATTTTAGTTGCACTATAAACATATGGAAGCTTCAGGAAAAACCTGGTTGTATTCATCAGTGAGAAACAGGAATACTTTCTTACTCTACAGTGTGGCATAGTACATGTTTAGAGCCTCTCATACATGGGATAAAACACTCCCTCATTTGGGAATAACTCTATGACCTCGACTGTGCAACCCAGCTGGCTTTCTGACCTCCATTCGTAACTGCCCTGAGTACTAAATAAGATTTGTACTGTTTTCTAATATTCTATTTGGGATCTGGCTGAGCATATACCATGAACTCGATGCCAAGAAATATTTTTTATTGTTCAGTAATAGCTAGACAAATAAAGGATTGACTGGGTATTAACCCATATGGTCAGGTTATTGTGAACCATTAGGAAGGAAGCGTGTTCTAAGCAGCTGGAAATGAGCTCTATGTTAGCCTAAGAAGTCCAGGCAGCTGTCCAAACTAGCATTAGGTATGCTGAAAAGCAAGGACGCTTATTTGTGCTGAATCAATTGCAGCACCCGGGTTACATTCCTTTTACACTTCTTCAAATTTATGCAGAGATTAATTTATTTAAGCTATCTAGAACATCCAACTAGAGGTGAGTTGGTTTTCTCAAATAGCTCCAACCAAATCTAGGTTCATCTGGCCTGGTTTTACTTAATAGGCATGATATCTTTTTTTCTTTATGCAAAGAAAATAACACGCTATATTAAGTGATTTCAAGGAAACGCTGTGTTTGAAGTAACTGAGGAGCTAACATGGGTACAAAGCTGGCTAACCCCGAGATACTTCGGAAGTGGTGCTTGTCCATAACAACAAATGTGGTTGTTCCATGATAAATTTATTCTTCCATCTGCAAGGAAATTGGCACTTGGTGCCAAGGCTTGATGACTTCTGCTTTTATTGCCAACTTCTGGCCTTGTTTCAGTAACAGTGTGTTAAACCGTACAGCAGACTTCTGACCTTTTAAACCTGAGGATTCCAGCAAGCACATTTTAAGCTTAGCTCTAGTTTGAATAGGCATTTCTTTCTTTCTTTTTAAAGCCAGCTTGTTATAGGCTTCGCTTTGTATGGGAGCAATTTTATCCAGTCAGCAGTCTTACTGCACATTCTTTCCTTAAGAAAGTAACTAACCGGCGCTTCTATTCTGAGAAGAAAGAGAGGATTAAAAAGTATAGTCACTGCAAATCAGGCAGGTAGCAAGGAGAGGAGAGATGTGGGAAATACATTGAGAGGGAAAACTTTCTGTAGCTATCATGCCCCACGCTGTTGTGTATAATTATTAGCTGCAAAATAGCACAGCTTGAACGTTATTATTGCACATTAAAGAACATTTCACTTATAATTATGGAACGAAAAGGAGCGTTTACAACTCACCTACCGAAGCATTAACTTTGTGTACATAAGAAAGTATTTTTTAAAACCTCTTCATTAAAAATTTGCAAATATGTGACTTTCTTTTCCTGTCTCACCGGTCCCTTCTCTCTTTCTTCATTGACACACTGAATTACATCTTGAACTTCTTTTAATTAAAAAGCAGCACAAAACTATAATGGGGGAAGGAAACCAAGGAAAGAGGATGGTCTGTACGCTTGCCGGCCAAAATAAATATTTGGTCAATGATGTAGATTTGGAGAATGAAAAGGAAAAAGGAATAAATACATTCTTTAACAGTATAGGATAACTGATGATGAGCAGAAGTAAGGGCAGATTTTTTTTCCTCTGGCTAGTATTCATAATTTCTGAAGTAAAAAAATCTATGGAAATCTGTATGTGTCAGCAATGGTACTTTCAGTGACATTTTGTGGTGCAAGGATAGGGGATTTAACTGCTCCTTACGGTTCAGTGCAAGCTCCCAATTTCAGGCACAACACTGTCCATTTATGGAATATTTAGAATGACAGAACCCACTTCTATGTATGTGTGTTTTTTGTCTATCTGTTTTTATATTATCTGAATGTAAAGGGATCCTTTCCGTCAAACACATTTATTGAGAAACTCTTATATCTTAACTTTGCTAGGTCTAGGGGAAGAGAAGCAAATTAAACAAAAGTACAGATTTAAGTGCTTTGTCTAGAACATGGATTTTTAGATAAATCAAATATGTTAATCCCTGTGTAAAATTCACTTGATCTTAGGCAAAAGGCCGAGAAGTGATTCCTGTGTAAAATTCAAAGGAACATGGCAGGTAACAGTAAAATATAATTTTATAACCCCCACACATGTACGCATAAAGTATACTCTTACTTGATCTGTTTTGCTTTATGTGGTTCAAGTTTCCTGCACTCAAAATCCTCTGTAATAGGCCAGTGTCAGTGTTGCTTACAACAGCAGTGGGTGCTCTATAGGAAAGGGTTCTCTACTGGTTGGTCTGTGACATGCCATAGAGCCTCTGCCTTTCTTGCACTTTCTCTCTCTCTCTCTCTTTCTCTCTCTCTCTCTCTCTCTCTCTCTCTCTCTCTCTCTCTCTCTCTCTCTCTCCTCTGTCAAAGGCTCTATGAGGAGCTCTGTAGCCACTGAGGCAGGTCAGCTCCACACTCCTTGCTACAGGTATTTGTGGTCTTTAGAAATGCTGCTCCTGTTCTAAGGCTTTAGATAATAGTTGCTGGACACATGGGTTAATTCAGGGCCCACCCAAGTGTTCTCTCAATCCTTTTCCTAGGGTTTGGGGCCTTCAGCATGTGCCCATATCGCCACACCCTTGCTTTCTGTGCTAGCAATGCCACTGGAAAGAGGCCTTTCCTTTCCTTCTAAGGTGCAGAAACAAAGGGTCAGTGTCTACTATACTCATCTCAGAATTTACACATTCCAAGAATTTTCTGTGAGTGGCCATTGGCAGACTTGTTTACTCCCATGTTCTTAGTGCCTAAAAGTGCTGCTTTTATTTGTGGAACATTAAGGTGTTAGCCTTCCAGATGATTCATGTTGTCTAATATGAATCCCTCCAGGGTACCAACACCCTTGGGCAAATAAATATGATTATAACGAATGAGGGTCTTTCCATGGACAGAGTGGTAAGTACATTGGAGGTAAAGTCAAGAGGTCAGAGTTTGTATGATATCTTAGTCTGTTCAGATTGCTGTAATAAAGTGCCATAGACTTGGTAGCTTACAACATAAGTTTATTTCTTAACATTCTGGAGGCTGGATGCCCAAGATTCATGTTCCAGAAGATTCTCTTTCTGATGAGGGCCTACTCCTGCGTCAGCCCTATTTTGAGTCCTCATGTAGTGGAGGAGTTAGGGCAGCTCTCTTTGTCCTCTTGTATCCGGGTGCTAATCCCATTCCTGCAGGCTTTGCCCCATCACCTGACCACTCATCTCCTAAAGGCCCTTATTGTTGATTATGCATGACAGGAAGTGTATTCCTTTATACAGGACAATCCTAGAACCACAATCTCAAGATGGAAAACATTTGCAAAAGAATAAGATGCAAATGATTTGCCTTTATCTTTTACCACATGGAAAGTTTCTCTCCAGACTTTGCTTCTCCAATTCCTATGCTTTGTGTGGGGGCTTTATTTGGTTTCAGTCTTGTTCTCATTTGTCCTGCAGCCATAGCATCCCCTTTGACATATCTCTCACCATCCTCTGAGGAGGTGTGGATTGCACTGCCTCTTTTCCATTTTGAGTTCCTGAAGAGCCAGGGCTCCATCGTTCTGTCTCCCATCTACCCCACCCCAGCCATTCTCTAGAAGAGACCTGAGAAAATATGAACCTGACTCTGTCCTCTGTTCCCACCTACTACTAGACTCTTTTGTGCATCTACTCTATCTTCTCTCCTTACCAAGGAAAAGCCCTGCTCCACCCAGTCTTTCTTTCTGTCACTGTTGTTTTGCCTTTTCTAGAATTTCAGCATCACTTAATTAAAAAAAATTTTTTTTTCACAAACATTGAAAAAAAGCTATAAAGAGTTTTTCTTTACTCTTCATCCAGGATCCCTCAAATTAAACATGTCACATAGGCATAGCACAATTGTTAAACCAGGAATCAACACTGATACAATTCTATTTTCATATCTTATTCAAATTTTTTCAGTTTCCCCATTAATTTCCATTTTTGGTCACTATCAAGTCCAAGACTTGAGTTTTCATTTGGTCCTCACTAGTACTTACTTCTTCTCAGCTTCCTCTGATCTTCCACTGATTGGAATGTCTTTGACTCTTCCTCTTAGCATTTGAAGGGTGCTGGTCAATTTTTCTGCAGAAAGTCCCTCACTCTGTTTATAGGGTATTTTCTTCTGATGAGTTGAGGTTATGCAGCAGTGCTAGGGTGATGTCTCCCTTCATTGCAGGCTCAGGGAGAGACTATTATACTGATAGTCTCATCTCTGCTGATATGAACTTTGATCACACGAGGAAGGTGGTGTCTGCTAGGTTTGTACACTACTATAAAGGTATCATTTCTCTTTGTCAATAAGTATCTTAATACTACACCGATATTCTATCTCTTATTATACTTTCACCCAGCAATTTTCATATCTTTGTGCCTGCAATGTGGTGTTTGCCCTATAGTGATTTTCTATCTGCCATATTCATTTTTCATTTACTAACTGAAATTCTGTTTTATGAAGAGCTCTTCATTTTTGCCAACTACTTGAATAATTCATTTAAATAATTTACTATTTATTTAAAGAACTAAAAATAACTAGACCACTTAACATAAAAGACCCACTGAAGAAATGGACAAGTAAAATGAACAGACACTTCACAGAGGAAGAAATGGTCAACATCTCTGGCCATTAGAGAAATTCACTAAGATTCACTGTTACTTCAGAAAGAATGGTACTCATCAAGCAATAAAAAAAATAAAAAC